GAAAGTCACTGAGTTTTATATAGTGCATTTTAGTTTTGTAATATTTTATTACCAATAACACTAGATTATATTTTTTGTAGTACTTTAATGAGGTTAATGTGAGTTGTTGATGCATATGTGGTTTTCTTGTCTATCACTATCTGCGTTGCTTGATAAAACTTCCTACTTGGTCAATTAATAAAAACAAATACAACCATTTTATTGAATATTAGGATGTTTGACTCTCTTTTTCTTCATCCAGTAGAGTTGCCAAGGATCCCTCTCAAAAAAGGAAAGAAGAAAAAAAATTACAAAAGAAAAGAAAATGAAAGAAAGAAAGAAGGAAAAATGAAAGTAGCATTTGGTAGAGTTTTAGAATTATAATTTGATAATAGAGTTGTATTTTGAGTTTGTGAGTTTTGAAATTATGATTTGAGTGTAGAAAATTTGTTTGGTTATGAGTTTTGAAAAGAATTTTAAAAAGAGTTTTGTATTAAGTTTGAAATTTTTAATGTGACGTATGATATTTTATTCGAAAACTTACCACTTATAACCAAACACACAATCCTAAATTCTATTCAAAACTCATAAAAAAAATTCTAAAAATATTTTTTATTTAAAATATTAAAAAAAGGCCACTGTTTCAGTCAACCGGCCGGACATCCAAAGAGACGACCAAGTAGACATGTTTTAAAAAGTAGGTGTGAAATCAATTTTTGAGAACGCTAACCAAACACCACGCACAAAGCAAAGGGTAAAATTAAGTTTTGAAAGTCTAACCAAACACAGCTTAGTTTTTTTATTGATTACTAAAAGTATATTAAAAGATTTTGGGAGATGTTACGATGTGCACCCTCAAAAAGGTGCATATGGTATGCCTTTTATAATTTTTTTACAAATTTTCATAACTTAAACCCAAAATTTCATAACTTTTTCACTACGAAAGTCATAATTTTTTTTCACTGAAAAATGTCATAACAAAATCTCAAAGTGTCATAACAAAAATCACAAAATGTCATAACATTATCATTCCTAATTTTAAAGTGCACATCATAAATTCAATATTTATAACTTTATTACAAAATGTCATAACACATATTACAAACAATCATAACAATCATTATAAAATATCATAACCTTTTTTATAATGTGCTCCATTTGGTGAACATTGTATATTTCTCCAAAGATTTTTGATGCACACCCAAGCAATATTAAAAAAGTTTGTGCTAGCCTGCTTGGTGGAGCTTTATTTACAATTTATAAATCATAAATAACGTGAAAAGATTTGATAATTTGAAAGTTAGAAAAAATGAAGATGCTTTACTTCATGTTGCATATTATTATCTTTTAACTTGAGAAAAGTTACATAAAATAAATGCAAGTCCAAGTTAATGTGCGATGAGGAAAACTATTAGCTAATTAGAGTGCTATATGTTATTGACTTAACAAAGGAGAAATCGGAAAATATATTAATTGAATTATCTATAGTCCCTCAATTATATAGGATTAATTATCAAAAAGTCATATCTACATATTTGGTGGTAGCTTAGATCCTATCAAAAAAAATTTAAACCATTAAGTCTCATTTATAAGTAAAAAGACGTTTTGCCCTTTAATTCCAAAACTGAGAATGTTCTCAATTTTAAAACTAAGAATGTTCTCAATTTTAAAACTAAGAATGTTCTCAATTTATAATTATCAAAACTAAAAAATTTCTCAATTTTTTTTCTAGTATGAACTAAGAATATTATCAAAACTAAGAAATTTATAATTCTCAATTTTTTGAAATTTCTCAATTTTTTTCATGATTAAAATTGATAATATTATAAACTGAGAATGTTCTCAATTTCAAATTAGAATTCAAAATAACAATGTAGTTGAGTACATAGGGTTACAATTTTAGATCTGGTAAACTTTTTGACTTGGAAGGTTTTGGGGTTCGATTCGAAGCCCTGGTGTAATCTGTGTACTTCTTGACCTGTTCTTGGTTCAATTGGGTGGAACTTGGGTAGGTTTCATGGGAGATCCGAAATGGATCCAGATTTGGATTCCGATCGTTGTCATTCTCAAACAAGCCCGAGAGATCAAATCCTTGCGAGAGAGAGACGATATCAAAGGCATTCATGCAAGTTGGCTTCATGATCATGGAACTTGTTGTCGCCTCTCCTCTCTTCTTCTCTATGATTTCTAAGTCGAATTCAAATGCTTCGTTGAAGTCTAGAAGGCTGCGAGGTGTGTTGTCGTGTTCGTCTTGAATGGGCAATGGGACTTCATTTGTTTGAATCCTTTCTTGAACCATGAATTGTCCATGAGCTTGGCTACTGTGAATCTTGTGCATGGATTCGCCGAACTGAAGTTGCGTAGAACTTCAAATTGCAATTGTGAAGAGAGAGAGAATAAAGACAACAATAATGTTTGGCAGCTATGAGGATGTCTTGGAAGGATAAATTGGGCTATTAAAAATTAATGGGACTTAAAGGAGCAAATAATTTTATTTAGGACTTAATGAATTATAAGTTCACAAAATGAGACTTGTATATAAATGCCCCTTACTTAATAAAGATAAATTGTTATTGAATTCATAAAATTTTAGGAAGGGAACAACTTGAGGTTTGAGATATGTTTTTTCTGGATCTCATTTTCAATACTCACTAGTTACATTAAGTTTTTTGGAATCAATTCATATAAGACGTTTGCTATGGTTTTAAATAGGGTGCATGCAGACAGAAAGATTGATTTTGAAGATTAATCGAAATGTGTGTAAATTAATTTGAACACCAATTATTAAAATAAAATTTAGGGAGGGAAGGTAGAGAGAAAGAAGGGAATAATCGGGTGGGACAGCCGTATTATATGGTGTTTTTGAAAAGTTGATAAAAAATTAATTTTTTAATTTTTACATAAAAAAATAAAGAAATAACAAGATCTAAAAATAATTAAAAGACTAAAAAATTGACTTCTAACTGCTTTTCCAAAACGCCCGTATACAAATAAAGGGATCAGTGGAGGGAGGGAGGGGTGGGTCACTCACTGCAATGCAGAAACTGAAAAGAAGGAGAGAGAGACAGAGAGAGAGAGAAGAGGACTCTGAAGTTCTCAGATTAGATTCCTGAAATCAGGAAAACTACTACTCTACTACTAATTTATATTCTCTCTTTTGAATTCCCTCACCCTCCCCCCAAAGCTCCCCCATCTCCACTGTCTCGTGAACCCCTCTCTCTCTCTCTCTCTCTCTCTCTCCATAGACATATATTCTCTCGGCGGCTCCCCCAATACATTCGCCAGGTCCACTATCTCTATTTTTTTTTTCTTTTATTATAACTTCTAATTATTTATTTATTTATTTATTTTTTATTTGTTATGGTTGAGTTATAGAACTCTTTTGCCATCAAGATAAACTCCTAAATTATGCAGCTGAGATCTTCTAACTACATATATATGAAACGGGTAATTATTAAGGACAGGCTTCACTCCGGAAGCATTATCTCGTTCAGTTTGGCTCATCACGACTTTTACTTTAAAAATTTAAGAATATTTTTACATTTTCCCTAGAATTGACCTCTTTGAGGCAACAATTTTGATAATGAATTTGGCATGCAATTTAGTTGCGTCTAAACTTGTAAAATGAGTTAGCAATTGAGATGTTTTCAGCAATGACATATTAAATGTCAAATTCTTTTAATTTTATTATTTTGATGATAAGAACCTATACAAGAGTTAAAAAATATTAAAATAAAAATAATAGATTAATAAATGTGACAAAGCGTATGGAGTATTTATTTTTAGGGATATCAAATTTACATACGTCAATTTAACACCTAAGTCCCTCAAAAAAAAATTTGACATACAAATTTTGTCATTTTGTAATCTTACATGTGTAGATCATTTACAGGAAAAAAAGATGAAAAAAAAACATAAATTAATCTGATAACCATAATTAAATAATTTCATTACATTTTTTTTAAGTAGTTGGCAATTGCTTTATGTAATTTTTCTTTCTTTACTTCTCTTTTACTTATTGTAAAGTTTTTAAAATAATAATAATCAGAATAAGGATAATTCTGTTGTAATATCTGTTTCAGCTCCCGGAAATCAAGTAGGTAAACTAGATAAGTTTGTTATAAACGGAGTCGTGACATGATTGGAATACCGGAATCCAAGCAATATAATGAATGGTTCAATTTTCAGTGTTTTCGAAATAAATTATTTACGAAACCTAACAAGTTATTTAATATAAATAGTTATATGTTTGATTATATTTATGTTAACAAAATTAATGTATATATATTCTAAAATATGTGAATATTAATAATTAATATAAATTTTTACATGAATAATTTATTTTTAAACTATTAAAAATCAAACTTTCAAAATTTTAAAAAAAAAAGATAAATTACAAACACTCCTCTTGAGATTTACTTAAATTACAAAATTATCTCTTGTGGATCTAAAAATTACATTATGCCTCTTAAGGTTTCTAATTTTATAATAAATAAATCATTTTATTAATAAATTATCAAGTTAATTATTAATAGTTTTTAATAATGTTAAAATCATATTTCAATTAATAATTTAAATAATTTTATTATTGTATAGGTAAATAGTTAAAAATTTTACTTTTTTAATTAATTTTATTAGGGATTGTTTGGGGTGTCCTAAATAAGTGCGCTTTTTGTCTTTTTAAACTAAAAAGTTGAGGTTAAAAATATGAATGTTTGGGTTAACTTTTTGAATTTTTATGGAAAAATATATATTAAAAATTGTATAAATTAATGTATAGGGAAAAATTAATATTGAGAGTTGTGTAGCCGTAATTGTTGACTTTTGTGAATAATAATAACTTTTTAACTTTTTGAATGACTTTTTGACTTTTTAACTTTTTTAAGACTTCTCAAACTTAACCTAAATAAAATAATTTATATTTTAGACAAATTTAAAGAAATTCAAATAAGTGTATTTATAATTTACCCCTTAAAAAATAGACAGTGCGGACGCGTCTGGTCCCACCAAACCCACTCAGAGAGCGTGGAACTTGGAACTTTCAAATTTCTATTTCTATTTCTATTGTTTCCCTTGTTTTATACTATTTGTTTATCACAACAACAAATAGCCCTTTCACTTGATTTTGAGTTCATTCATTTATTATAAAATCAATCCTCCCTTTAATATCTCTCTCTCTCTCTCTCTCTCTCTCTTTCAAATTGGGTTTGGGTGTTGTGTATTTTTACATATTTTGGGGGGTTTGTAGCAATAGTGATGACATCTCCAAACATGGCAACAATCACAGCATCCTTGGAGAGATCTCTGCAAAACTGTACTCTAAACCAAACCACAAGCAGCGACACACCCTCCGGAATTGGCATCTCTTCTTCCTCCGATTCGCCGGGACATCATCATAACTCCACCGATGCCACCTTAGACCTTCACTCCCAAATCTCCCTCCCTTACCATTGGGAACAGTGTCTCGATCTAAAGGTTCGATTCCATTACCGTTATACCCAATATTTACTTTCTCGCTCTCTCTTTCTGTTCTCTTATGTACTATTTATATATTTGTCTCTGTTTCAACTTGCATTAAATTCAATTGCCATGATAGATCTTGATTGCTCCATTACTCATTTACTCTTTATAAATTACAATCTTTTTATTATCTTGAATGATGTCTTTTGATTATCTTGTGTTCATTGCAATCCCTGTCTCCTTTTTCACCACACGAGCAAACCCTAAAATAGCCCAGAGGCTTTTTTCCTTCCATCAGAAACTATTTCTTTCACCCTAAGGGGAAAAAACAAAAACAAAAAACAAAAAAATGAAAGAGAAAAGAACAGAGAAAAAGAAAGACTTTTTCTGGGTTGATCCATTTCATACTTTTTCTTTGATGGGTACATATTTGTTTATTTTCTTTAATTCTTTTTCTTGTTCCTTAATCTTTTCCCTAGCAACGCTACATTGTATAGTAGCCTTTACTTTTCTTGTTTTTTTCCCTTTTTAACTTGTTAGTTCCAAACTAAAAAAAACAAAAAAAAGCATGTTAGTTTTTTTCTTAATCTTTATGATGACAATTTTGTATATGTAGTACTGGGTAGTATTATACAAATAGAATGATTGTGGCTTTATCATTGTTTCATTTAAATTAAAACATCGGTTTATAATTTCAAATATCACACTCTCATATTATTCTAAATTAGTTTTTTTAATTTTAAAAAAAATCCTGTTTGTAAATCATTTTTCTGTAAAAATGGTGTAGACTGGGGAGATATATTACATAAACTGGAGGACAGGGATGAAAGCAAAAGAGGATCCGAGAACGATGGCAGATTTCAGTGGTGGTGGCGGTGATTTTTACTCGGAAGAAGACGATAGCTCGTATGATAGCGAAGAATCTTCGTCCGAGTCTTCACCGTCTTCTTCAAGAAACCAACAATATGATCATCGGAGCTCCTCCTCGTCCGATGATCGAAAAAGCCATGTACTGGTGGTGGCTGGGTGCAAGAGCTGCCTAATGTATTTCATGGTTCCCAAACAGGTTGAAGATTGCCCCAAATGTTGCGGTCAACTCCTTCATTTTGATCGATCCGAAAATGCCTCTCCTTGATTATCAGATACATGTCTTATTTTTATTTTTTTTAAAATTTATTTAAATTTCTTTGTCTATCTTTTCATCTATGTTTTTCATTGTGGACGATTGATGAAATGAGACAAATGATTAGTTTTGAATATTACTTTTTATTATATGAGTGTTCTCTTCTTTAATTTCATGCCTTTTATTTTTGTTATTTGTTGAGTAATGCCAGAAATGAGTTCTTGAGGGTTAGCAACAAGGTCAATGAGAGAAGAAAGGATGAATAATAGCATGTATTTTTTTTTTTTTTTTTTTGGGTGATAATTTGGACGTGTTGCCACGGTTCTCCTTAGTTTTAGTTTTGCTTTTGTTTTGTTCTTGTTTTTTTTCCTTCATAATTAATTGATATTAATTTTTTAATCTTTGCAAATTCTATTTTATTTTTGGAGTCTTCAACGAGGAGCCTGATAATTGTTATGTTTGAACTTTGAATATGTAAATATTTATTTTACATTGCCATCATAATAAAATACCAATAATAACATATTAGATTATATTTATAAAAAAAATAAATAAATTACAATATAGATGATATTTAAAATTTAGTACTCATATTTGATCACCATGACATTATTGATAAAAACATTCATTACTCACATTTGCATATCATAATTGGAACTTGGAAACCATAGAATGTTGTTTACTTTGTTTTTTTATTTTATTTATTTATTTTTTTAAAGTCATCACTTGGGCACATTGTCATGATCTGGGCAGGTTCATTACAAAATCTTTAATTGAAAAGAAAAACTAGTTTAATCCAAAAATAAAAAATAAAAAACTTTTTAGGATCATTTTTAACTATGCAAGTGGTCAATGATGCCTCATGGTTGTTTAATCTTAACACTTATAGCTGGCATATTGTATAATTAGAGTTAATGTAACATTGAACAAACAAGGTGAAAGTGCATCGTCTTACCGTTCAAAAAGATGATTGTCGTTACTGGAAATTGGTTGTCACTACCTAAACGGATTTTGAAAATTATTAACATGTTTTTTTGGACTAAATTCTGTTGTTGGCTAGCCATTAACAAGAATTGAGATTCTAGCGGTAGAGACACATGCCTTCATTCAATTCAACAGTTTGGCCCCAAAAAGCTTACATTAACTCTAGAAAGAGAAAGAAAGGTTATGGTGGATGATATATTTGGAATTATGAAGAGTGTAATGAGAATGAATAAAAATTTTGAATTTTGAAAGTGTGTAATTAGAAAATGTGATATGGAGCAAAGTTTTAATTTAAGACTTTGGATATGATTATTCACTAATATATTGGTCGTTATTATCCGATATCAACCGATATATGAATATATTATTCATCATGATACATATCTTGATATTCTTATTTAAAATCATAATAATGAGATGGAAGTATTGCGTAAATAGAAAATTCTCATTTTTTTTTTTCTTCAGAAAACTAAACGACGTATACCAGTTCTGCCATATTAAAAAAAAATTTAATACTTGGAGAATTAAATTGTAGAAATCTAAGTCTAAGGAGTAAGGTGAGAATTAAGTAATACTTTAAAAAGTGAAAACTATAATTTATCATATTTTGTTTGAAAGTTGTAAAAGATATTTAAATTAATGAATCCCAAAGTTTAAACAAGTGGGACTCGAGTAGGTATAAAATCATGTGTGCAAAAATTATGGAAAATTTTACAGTTCACACACTTTTTTGATCAACAAAGAAATAAGACTTTATTGATGGAAAGAGGATACAAATCAAACATACATCAATAAAGCAAGGGGAAACTTATAAATATCATAGCTAAACTCAACGATCCCAAATAAGTTGGGACCGCAGAGCTAGCACAATCATATGCTAGCAAAGTCCCAGGTTGATGAGAAACCAACCAAAAGCAAACAGAAAATAAAGGAAATTTCAGTTATCATACGTACCTTTAGTTATTTCATGTACTTTTAGTTATTTTAATTTTTTTTTAGTCATAATTAATTTTCTTCATAGTTCTAAAAATCGGCCGATACGCTACGTATCGACCAATACGTATTGGAAAAATAGGGTGCCGCGACAGATACAGGCCGATATACCATTGAGATTGAAAATCACAGGCATATCGGCCGAGTCCCAATACGTATTGGTCTGTAACTGTTCACAAGTCATTACACAAACCGCGACGGGCCGATACTCACCGGTTCGGACCAGTACAGGAAAGAAAAAGCTGTGAAATGATTTTTAAAATTTCACCGCTGCGACACCCGATTCCCGATACGCACCAATCAATATTGCCGATATCGATACTCCGCGATCGATATCATTACGTTACCCGATACTGCGATTTAGAACCATAATTTTCTTCTTTAGTTATGATATTATTTTGATATGTTTAGTTATGCCTCGTGAAGTTTTTTTTTATATTTTTTTTATCAATAGAAATTTTCATTAAAGTATGAAAGCTAAACGGCACTTACAGGGAATCCATCCAACAAAAAAACATACCCCAAACTAAGAAAAAATAATCAAAAGAAAGCACGAATAGCTAGTTATGAGAAAAACACGACGTTCATCTAATCTTGTATTGCAAAGCAAAGTCGATTATAAGAGTTCGACAATAAGGCGAGTCGAAAAAAACAATCATAGGTTACATCCACAGAGATAGGTAAGCAACAATCAAACACTGATAGAAACCTAACCACACAATCAAACACCAAAAAATAAAACAAACTAGGAGACTACCTTCAGACCTTAGACACGCATGTGGAGGGACGACGACGACGACGACACCGGCAACCGGGGTAGATCTGGTGGAGCAAATAAGAGGAGAAAGGGTAAAGGTAGATCTGAAGTGGGTGAGACTGTGGAGGCGAGGAGAAGGCAAAACTAGTGATAGTAGTGTTGACAAAGTCGGAAAGAGACGGAGGAGGAGATTGAAGTAGTTCCGATATAACCACACCTCACAAGGAAAGAGAGGAATGGAACGACAAGCTTCCAAGTTTATTTGCAGAAAATTGAAGAAACGAAAGAAGAAAAAAGAAAAAGGTGTAGAGGGAGGAGAAATGAGGCTAATGAGCGAAACCCCCTCCCGTACCCTAGTGGCACTCCAGCAGCAGAAGCCCTTGTAGACACCCCATTTTGACCGACCTTAAGACTCAGACGTCACTAGTTGAGCGCTCGGTGATGCTGCATGTTGTGCTCGTTCTGAAGTTGCAGAGTCTCGGCTGTGAGCCTTGCCTCCGGACTTCGGAGCTCTTTTGTGCCTTGCCTCGGTTTACGAACCGGGTCCTATTTTCTCTGTTTTCTCTTCTCGAAGGGAGGGAGAGGTCTCGTAGACCATCTTTCAGTGACCGTAGGCTACGTTTCGTGATCGTAGGCCATTTTTTCCGTTTGGAGCCCGGTTTCCCGTTTTTCGGAGCCGCCGACTGTGTGCCTCGGTTCGAGACCGCTTAACTACCTCCGTTTACTCCGGTTTTTGGTACACATCTTATTTCCTCCCTTTAAAGGAACACTGTGGCCCTGGAGACCACCTTCGTGGTCATACGCCACTTCTGGTGCCTAGCAGCCTATTTTCGGGGCCCCGAGCCGTGCGTTTTGGCTCCCGAATCTTCGTTTTGCATCCGTTTTGTCATTTTTGGTAGGGACCTTATTTTCACTATCAGGGAAGTGGTAGAATGGTGGCCGGCCACCTATTTCCCTGAAAAGCTAGTTTTCTCATTTTCTCTTTCCAAAAGTTAATTTTTCTGACAGAAAGCTGGTTTTTCCCACTTTTGAGCCACATTTTCTGGCTTTTCATACCACCATTGTGATCTACTTATCTGGGAGGCCACCTTTCTGGGTAGGCCGACCAGAAATTTTGCTTGACCCTTTTGACCCCTGGTCGGCCGACCATGGGGAGTGGCCGGCCGACCACTTTAGCTGGTCGGCCAGCTTTCTGCTTTTTGCTCTTCTCAAGTGCAACACAGCTATGCCAGCTGTGAAGCACTTGACCCACTGTCCGAGATTTTGAACCTCTTTTTGATCCTTTTTAATTGGTTTTGCCCCCCTTGCTTAACTTCTTGCAGAAGCTTGACTCTTTTGTCAAGCTTCTTGAGGAAGCTTGACCATTTTGGTCTAGCTTCCTCAAGAAGCTTGACCTTTTTGGTTAAAGCTTTTTTGAGAAGCTTTGACCCCCTCTCATGGCTTCTCCAAGAAGCCTTACTTCTCTCCCTCTATATAACCAACCTCCCACCTTATTTTGCAAGGGTTAGAAAATTTGGCCAAGGCACATGCACTCCACCTTCCATGGCCTTCTTCTCCAAAGCTCGAAAACCTTAACTTCCTTGGTCCATTTACACTACAACCCATAGCACCACACCACCATCATCCATTCCAGCCCCTTCAAAGTCATTTACAGAGGTTGAAAGCTCATTTCCTTGGACCAAAGGCTGCTGGAAAGTTAGGCTACAAGAGTAAGCTCCTATTCTCCCCAATTTTTGCACTATTTTGTTCTATATCTTAGCCCCTTTTTCTTACATTTTTGGGCTTGGGCCTGAACTAAAAAAAGTCTTATTTTGAGTTCATCTTCATGTTTGATTAAGGACTTTTCTCTGTTTGAAGTCTTATACTCCCCCTTTGTGCTTTATCCCTCTTTTGGGGCTTATTTTGCATGATATATTAGCCCTATTTTTGTGCATTTTTGGGCTTCGATCCAAACTGTGAATTACCTTATTTTGAGCCCCTCTTCAACTTTGTTGAAGGGCTCTTTGCTATTTGATGCCATCTATTACCCCTTTCCCTTTATCTCTCTTTTAGGGCTATTTTTGCATCATATTAGCCTTACTTGTGGGCATATTCGAGATTTTCCATAAACTGTAAAGTATCTTGTTTTGAGCCCTTCTTCAACTTTGTTGAAGGGATCTTTGCTGTTTGAGGCCTTTTTCTACCCTGTTTGTTCAATCTCTCTCTTAGGGCTGTTTTTGCATGATACATTAGCCTTATTTGTGAGCCATTTTAGACCTCAACCTAAACTAAAAAGAATCTTGTTTTGATATCATATTTATGTTTGATTAAGGTCTATTCTCTGTTTGGGGTTTTTTCCCACTTTTGAGCCACATTTTCTGGCTTTTCATACCACCATTGTGATCTACTTATCTGGGAGGCCACCTTTCTGGGTAGGCCGACCAGAAATTTTGCTTG